TACCAAAGACTTACAAAAATTGTACTAACAGCTGCCTCGCTTGACGCTCAGCATTAAAAGGTTAGTGTTAGGACTGGTCGGCCTGGTGTCAGGATAATGTGACTAGGTTGGACATCATGCTACATGTCTGCGGCATGATGCCCCAGTGCTAGACATCACTATAAACTGCCACACTGCAGACATCGTAGCGATATGACTGAAAAATTGTTCAAGTTACGTTAAAAATCATAATCACATCACATCATTTTCTTTATAAAGGTTTACGAACCATATATTCTCAGAAACCTGAAACACTGAATAAGCGTGTAACCGTTCATGTGTAGGATATGAAATTAAATTCTCAGCTATCGATCACATTGTGAAAGCTAATTAGTTTCACTAAAAGCTAATGTAATACCTGGGACTTAGAAAATTCCAAACCAAGGTGACTTTAAATTACACAAACAAATTTTTATGAAATATTTTAAAAATATTCATATCTCAGGGACGAGCCTCGATTTTCTTTTATTACTCTAAGATTTTAAATTTAGTAATACGAAAGAGGAAAATCCAAAAAGTTTTATAAAATTGAAGAAATAATTTATTCCCCTAGAATACACAATGAAAATGTAAAAGTAACATAGTTGGTCGGGGTCGACCTGGTCTCTCTAGCATATTCACGCCATTATTTACATGCGCCCCTCCAAAGTTTGAAAATGTTAAAAATTTCCGTGCTTCCCTCCGATTTCTGCAAAGTTTCAACTTATGACAATATGCTAATGTTATGTATATTTAATTTAATTGTTTTTTTAGCTTTAATTATTTTTAATTTCATTACATGCTGTTGTAATGAAACATTGCTGGACTTGACCTTGTCCAAGACTGAGTTCTACTTCACCTGATCGAATTTTTTTTTTTTAATTTTTCACTTACGTCAACAACTATACTGGACTTGACCTTGTCCAAGACTGAATTCTACTTCACCTGATCGAATTTTTTTAAAACAATTTTTCACTTACGTCAACAACTATTACGTAGCTAATTTATTCTGTCTGTGCATGAGCTTAATATCAAGATATTGTTCAAATAAACAAGAAGGAGTAAACATCTTTTTGTCGGGGTTTTGGAGTTTGCTAAGTGAATTTGACAGATTATTGTGTTTTAAGTAAACAAGGCTTATTATATCATTCTAGAATGTTATTAGGTAATTTTTTATATAGAAAAATGCTAATTCTGACCTGAGGTCAAGAAGAGAACTACATATATTGTAATGGTGAGCATTTTATATTTCGTGCTTTAACATCTAAAGCATTCAAGTTGTATTATGCTGTGATACGTTTGGGCTGGATTTTATTTTCTTCAAATTATTAAATTCAAGTGAATAGTTTCTCTGGAAATACAAAAGTGTTCAGATAAAATTCTTAGATGAATATATTAACTGGAAATATTGCTGACTTCGAACCTGGAATCATATGTATGTGAGTCAACAAAAGACTGTGGACACATCAACACTCCATAATCTATAATGGATACGTCATCGCCTTCACCTTTGGATCTCTTCGAAACTTGTACTGAGTCTTTTTCAGGACTTTATATTATTAGGATTTGTGTTTTCAAGTCTTTGATTATTTTGGGATTGAATTCGCAATACCGTAAGTACTTGTTTTCATTGCTATATTGTGTACTAGTGAAATCAATTATTTGTTAAATTTTACAAAGCTTGTTTTCTTTCACTCTTTTCTGTTACTTATTTTAAAAGCATAGACTCGTAACAGTTAACAAGTGCAAATGTTTTTTCTTCAGCGTTCAGCTCTTGACATTTCGTTAAATTAAACCAGAGCTTAACCCCTTGCCCAGTTTTGCCTTGATTTCTCTAGAATACAAAGTGAAAATGTACATATAACTTACAGAAATATGAATTGAATCCCAAATAATCATAGACTTACTGGCACTTGTCCTGAAGACTAAAGTTCTAAAAAAATGTTATGGGTATTCCTAAATGGATCCAACGCTGAAAGCGTTGATTTTCTGGTAGTGGTCTGTGCCGTAGAGATGTACCAATAGTCTTTTATTTAATCATAATAACATAATGCAAAAAATATATCTTTATTTAAATTTTACTATTATTCCAAGAATATTATTTTTTGAGTGATAAGTATTTCCGAAGTGAATAAATAATTATACCCCCCCAAGAAAAACATTTCTGAGCTCAACAATAAAACTGATTTATGCATCAGATGTTATCGCAGGAATAAATATTTCTTTCACGCAAAAAAAGATATCATACTTCTCTACCAGGCATCAGTCACAATCAGCATTTTCCATTTGTTTAAAGAAATTATTACCTAATGGAAAATTTCATACTGGAAAGATCCAAATATTTACAAGAATGAAACTTAATTATAATGAGAAAGTCAGGTGCTAAAATTAAAAAAAAGAACATGGTACAGACGATGTCCTTAACTCAGACCAAGATAAAAATGCTTATTTTTATTAATATTAATGATCATAATATTAAATTCATAGGTAAAAATTCATAGGTAAAAATATTATATATTTAGTATTTGTTTACAGAATTAAAAATCAATAATTTTGGGTCAGGTAAAAATGAACATGATTTTGGATAAGTTCATCTACAAAATTATTATTTTATATAACCCAATGCATTTAATGCAATTAAAAAAAGAAGAAAAAACCTAACTAACAAACAACGCCTAGTATATATATATATATATATATATATATATATATATATATATATATATATATATATATATATATATATATATATATATATATATATATATATATATATATATGTATATATATATATGTATATATATATATATATATATATATATATATATATATATATATATATATATATATATATATATATATATATATATGTATATATGTTTTCAACTTCAACAAAAAGAAATTGGGTCTTTTTGTTGTGTATGTATTGCCTATATTTTGATCTCAAAACGTAAAACCCTGTGACTCTACAAAAAATTCGGCCACACAAACCATTCTGCCCTATAAACCCTTCAACACCATAAATTCTACTTACCCCATAAATATTGATGCCCTATCAACTCATGCCTATGTTAAATTCCTCTTATACCCAATGTGCCCATTCCCATGTTAAATTCCCGTTATGCCCAACGTGCCCATTCCCATGTTACATTCACGTTATGCCCAACGTGCCCATTTCCCTGTTAAATTCCCGTTATGCCAAAAAGTGCCATTGCCATGTTTACGTACCCATCAAAGTGTTATCCATCTGGTCAAGTGTTTGATCATTTTTCATTTTATTTATGTATTAGCATTAGAGCCTGTAGTAGCTATTTTTAAAATAGATAATTCATGTATTTTCTCACTAAAGCCTTTGCTCGTGGATTAGATGATTTGTGCAATATCACTTTAGGCTTGATTCGCTGTGACTCGCTTATTATCACTAGCGACTTTAATCGCTGTAAATATGATATGTTATCACTAGCGACTTTACTCGCTGGATATCTGATTGATAAGTTATCACTAGAGACTTACTTGCTATCTAGGTTGCTCGTGTATTATCACTAGCGACTATAAAAGCTGCATACTTGATTTATCTATTATCACTAGATCCTACATTCGCTGAATATATAGTTCATGTTTTATTACCAGAGCTTTTACCCAATGTATATCTTCATATAATGTTCATGTAATACAGCTTTAGACTTTCTTCGCTGTCTAGGTGATTCGTGTATCATTAATGGAGCATTTACGTTCTGTTAAAGTGATTTGTGTATTAGAACTACAATCTTTAACAGCAGAAAGGGTGAACAGACCATTTTTTGAGGTATTTTTTTATTAAAAAAAAAATAATGCTTTCTACGAAAATGAAAATACAAGATCAACGAAGCATCCAACCTACCGAGACTGTGTTATTTTATTGCTTACATACCAGTTTGTGTATCGCAAGCGGCCCCTTGTCTGTATACATGGTTTACGCCAAGTGCGTCTTTTGGCTGGTTTTGTGTGTCAAGAAGGGCAACAACTCCTGTTGCCTTAACGAGTATAGGATATCAATTCCGCGAAATACAACCAGAATACTGCAGTTATATCTGATCACTTTGCGTAATTAAATCATACTTATGTCAATAATTACACTAACCGTGAGATACCAGACATCTAAACTAGCTCGACAGCGACTAGAGGCAATTAAAAAATATCTTCCAGTCCGTGATTAAGTCAAACAAAACTTACAAGAGTTCCAGGATGCAAGGGTGGAATTTACAGAAGTGCAGAACAGTTATTTAAACCGGTTACAAAGGCCACCAAAAAGTTACAAAGGCTACCAAAGGTCTTCTCGCTTTAGAGCAAACCGCTGAAGCAACTGGAAAAATCGCGAAAAGATCTTAACAAATAAAATGATTTTAAGAGAACTTCCAGGTGAAATAGCTGCTGCGAGAAATATTTGAATGTATTGACCAAGCTAGTGCTGACATACGTAATATAAAGGATCATATTACAGAATCAGAACCTGAACATGAGAGAGAGAGAGAGAGAGAGAGAGAGAGAGAGAGAGAGAGAGAGAGAGAGAGAGAGAGAGAGAGAGAGAGAGAGAGAGAGAGAGAGAGAGAGAGAGAGAGAGAGAGAACTGATTCTATTGATAAATTTACAGAAGAAAGTATTAACCACATCAAGCGAGAGAGACTTGTACTTATTTACCACGGCAACTTTTAATTCCAAAAACAATAATTGAAATCCGATTACCATGATAATTCTGTAGGCAGTGAAGTCTGGTATAAATTGATATTTCGTATACACTGCAGAGATGATCAGGCCCGAAATGATGATACAATATATATATTAAATTTATCAATGGAATAGATGACTATTTTCGTTGTAACAGCAAAAACAGCATTAAAAACAACAACCGCAAAAACAACAACCATAAAACCCACAATTACCAGAACAAACATAACAGACACAAAAACAACAATCGCTGCAACCAGGCAAAACAACAAGTGAGG